GCGGTGATTTCACCGTAGACGTCTTCGGTGAGCGACACCTTCCAAAGCAGATCAAAGCAGAACTGGGCACAGTAACCCATAGGAGATCAGAATACACGACGCAGCAGCAGTAATATGATCATGACCAAGACCTGGTTGACAAACCCGTCAGCCCTGCAGTTCGAAAATATACAGAATGAAGGCCACAGGAGTAACAGCAGGGCGCGGATTACCCATCAGCGCAAGAGAGCAAAAAGCTCATCCATGGAAGAAGAAAGGGGAGGAGGAGGAGGAGGACGACGACGACAGTGCTGTGAGACCGCCAATTTTCAGATTGCCCAAACAGTGTTTGCGCTGAGGGGGTCTTGCTCCTGGCGGTGGGGGTCGGCCTGGCGGCTGTGTCGTCGCCGTCGCCGCCCCGCTGCCACCCCTGTTTCCGCACCGTCGCCGCCCGTCGTCTGGGCCTGGAGAGCGGCCTGGCGGCTGCGTCGCCGCCGTCGCCGCCGCGTCGCCGCCTCGTCGCCGCCTGTCGTCTGGGCCTGCGTTGCTTCGCTGTGCTCTGCACTGCGATGCCGCGCTGTGCCATGACTCGCATCGCATTGACTTGCAGTGCTTCGCCTTGCGTCGCACTGTCTTGCACTGCTGGGCGTTTTGTGCATTGCTGTGCCGTGCTTTGCAATGCTCTGCGTTGCTTTGCAATGTTTTGCATTGCCTTACATAGCTTTGCGTCGGGTTGCGTTGCATTGCATTGCATTGCATTGCATTGCATTGCATTGCATTGCATTGCATTGCATTGCATTGCATTGCATTGCATTGCATTGCATTGCATTGCATTAGTTTGCATCGCATGACTTGTCATTAATTTGCATGGCTTTGCATTCATTGCTTTGCATTGCTGTGCCGTGCTCTGCACTGATCTGCAGTAACTTGTATTGCTTTGCGTCATGATGTGTTGCGCTGCGTTGCTTTGCATTGCAACGCATCGCTTTGCATTGCATGCGCTGCGTTGACTTGCATTGCTTTACATTGATTTGCAATGGTTTGCATTGGTTTGCCTGGCTTTGCACTGCTTTGCGTTGCATTGCTCTGCATTGCTTGGCATTGTGCTGCATTGGTTGGCATTCCTGCGCATCGCATAGCACAGAGGGGGAGGGGAAGAAGGGAAGGAGGAGAAGGAGGACGTCTCTTGGGACGTCTCTTGAGGTGGGGGGGGCGCCCGTGGCGCCCCCCCACCAGGAGAAGGAGGAGGAGGGAGGGACGAGGAGGAGGACGAGAAGGAGGAGGAGAAGGAGTAGGAGGAAGGGAGGGAGGGAGGGAGGCGGGTTCCAGCGGACGGAGGTCTAGACTCAGGAGGCCCGGACGGCTCCGCGGCGCCGCGGCTCGCGGCCGGGAGGGGCAGGCGAAGGAGGAACGAGGGTCGGAGCTGAAGATGTTCGGCGCCCTCTCACCCGCTTGGACATCCTACCGGAGCTCCTCGAGGCCAGGGCTGGATCCGCCTGGAAAATGTTGGTCAGAGCGCACCCGAGGACAGGTCCTGGGGCTCATGTTGAGGAGGGCGACCATGCGTAACACTGCGCCTGCGTGCACCACAGCACGCCCAACAGCAGGTGGCCCAGATGTGGCCTCGGCAAGGCGGCGACGGCGATTACATGGCCGCCAGACCGACAGAACGCCCAGTTACTTATTCCAGATGTAAAAACCCGAAGCGCAAGCACTGCACAACATAGATTGCACACCGTAGATTGCACCACATACACTGCACCACAAAGATTGCACCACATAGCTTGCACAACATTAATTGCACCGCATACATTGCATCACATAGACATTATACACATACATAAAGATATATATATATATATATACATAGAAATACACAACTGCAGTGGCGCTTCGCGCCATGCACCTTGGTCCTTGAAGTTTGGTACGCAGGCGGAATAGCGGGAAGGTCAAGCCGACAATTTAGCGATAACTCCTTGTTGCCTTTTCCGGCATCGCCGCTGAAATAATGTTATTCGGTGTCCTTCCTCAATGTCTATTTTTCCTTATGTTTGCCATACCCTGGGCATTTTCCCCATCCTCCTCAGCTCTTTTTTGCGGAGGCTCCTCCTTGGAGAGCCTCTGGGGGCCTCACAAAAGTTGTTTCAGGCTTTCTGAAGGCCTTCTGGAGGCCTCCTGGGCGTATTCTGGGGGCCTCCGGGGGCTTCCTCGGGCCACCCTGCCTCCAACCGCGGTCTCCCTGAACGACAGGGTCACGATTTGGAATGCTTCGGAGGGTGTCTTTGGGCCATCGTGGGCCGCCACCGGGCTCTCTGAGGGCCATCTTGGACCCGTGTTGTGCCGTTTTGGGGCTCTCTTGGACTGCCTGAAGCCCTTTCGGATGGTTGTGGGGCGATGTTGGAGCCTCCCAGGCGGCTTCGGACGCCCAGAAGACCGCCGTCTTGGAGCGTCGGGAAGCCGAAAAGAGGAGAACCCCAGAATTCAGAAAAAAACGAAAGAAAATCAATGATTTTTGCCTCGGTGGGCATTCTTGGGAGTGCTCTTGGAGCCCTCTTTGGGGCCGTCCTGGAGGCCTCTTGGGCCATCTTGAGGTCACGTCGGTCACTCTTGGAGCGCTCTTGTGCTGTCTTGGGGGTCTCTGGGACGTCTCCGATGACCCTCCTGATCGCCCTAGGTGTGCTGGGAAGGCTTGGCAAAACGCCCTGCGAGGCCCGGGGGCCGCTTCGAGGCCCATCCGGAGGGTCCCAAAGCCCCAGGTCCCGGGAGTCCGGTTTTTTGGGGGGGGAGGGGGGGGGGGGGGGGACGGGCTTTCCCCCCGCCAGGGCTTGTAAAAAATAGGAAGAGGAATATGTATCGGAACTCGGAGTGAGATCGAAGTGGAATGGAGAACCCCCACTGTGAAATCGATTTCGGTTTCGGGTTCGTCGCGCGTGCGGGCAAGGCGAAACTGCGCGGGCGAAAGGAATGACTCCGCCGTGGCTCAGGCGGGTCAAGACACAAGGCTGCCGCTCTGGTGGGCAGGGGTGGCTGGGGGTGTCCCGCCGTGGTGTCCCGCCGTGGTGTCCCGTCGGTGTCTGCGGGCGGTGGCCGGGATTGACCCGCCGTCGGTGTCCCGTCGGAGTCCGCGGGCTGGTGGCCGTGGGTGTCCCGCCGTGGTGTCCCGTCGCTGTCCCGTCGCTGTCCCGTCACTGCCCCGTGTTGTCCTGTCGGCGACCCGTCGGTGTCTCGTCGGTGTCTCGCAGTCGGTGTCCTGTCGGTGTCCGGTCGGTGTCCCGTTGGTGTTCCCATTGGTGTCCCGATTGGTGACCCGTGGGTGTCCCGATTTGTGTCCCGATTGGTGACCTGATGGTTCCCCGATGGTGTTTCGATGGTGTCACGATGGTGTCCCGGTGGTGTCCTGATACGTGCCCCGATTGGTGTTCCGATTGTGTTCTGGTGGTGTTATGGTACTGTACCGGTTGGCGTTTCGATTGGTGTCCCGATGGTGCCTCGATGGTGTCCTGATAGTATCCCGATATGTCCCGATGGTGTCTCAATGGTATGGCGATGCCCCGATGGTGTCCCGATCGCATCGAGGTGGCTTCCAGGATTGCTAATGAGATCGATACTCAGACTTGGGGAGTGAGATCGAAGAGAACCGGAGACGCCAAACAGTTCACCACCACCCGGCACGGGGTCGATAGTGAGATCGATGTAACGCAACCGATTATGAAATCGATCGAATCAAATCGGTAAACTGAAATCGATTGGCCGATTTCGATCGGGAAATCGACCGTTCAGCCATCGATTGGCCGGAATCGACCGACAGTGCGTTAGCCCATTGCCATCACGCAGTGTCGCCAGCACCATCGCCTGGCATCGTCGCCAACTCGTGAACGCATCTCCTGCACTGCCACCATCTCAATCATCACAATTGTCCTCAGCCGGTTCTTTCCCCCCAAACCTCGTTATCACCCCAAGGGTGATCCTATAGGTGTGTATCTATATATATATATATATATATATATATGTATATACATACTGTTTGGGGCCCACGCTGGCGAACATGGGAACCACATGCTTTGACCACACGGGCCTACGGCATGTACGACCGCGGCGCAGACATTCCCCGAACCGCCCTCGCGCTTCGGGGCTCTCTTGCCCGGTCGCAGCAGGACCTGGGCCTGCGGGTCAGTCTGGCCCGCTCGCTGTCGCCGTCGCCGCCAGTCGCCGCCGTCCGTCGCCAAGCTACTGCCGGACTCGATTGGAGAGGGCACGCGAGAGGACACACGACCCTTCCGAGGGCCACATTAGCATGGGGGAGGTAGGAGGCATGGGTCGCAAGGCACAGGACATAGGGGTACCTAAGGGTACCCGTGATTTGGCAGGGTCGACCTACTAATCAGGGCCGACTGTGTGCAAACGCTCCTTCGACGTGGAAAATCACGCGTTTCGCGCGTGCCCGCACGGGGAAAATGCGCCCCCCTGTCGGATCCTCGTTGCCTAAGGAGGTCCGCAGACCCCCGCCTTCCGTCGCAAAAGGCGGTGTGCGGAGCGTTTTGCTCGGATCCCCCACTGCATAACGTGACTCGGCGAACCTCATATTTGCGCTCCTCGCTGCCCGAGATCGACGTTGTGCGCACCCGCTCGCACGCGACGCTCTCTGGCGCACGCCGAGGGCGCCTCCGCGCAAGCCCGCTCGCACGCGGCGCTCAGGGCCCTCGGGGCAGGATCGCCTCTCGGGGCGCGGCCTGCCGACCGCTGCGTGCGCTGCGGCGGCTGCGTCCTCCTCCTCCTCCTCCTCCTCCTCCTCGTCGTCCTCCTCCTCCTCCTCCCTCCTCATCCTCCTCCTCCTCCTCCTCGTCCTCCTCCTCCTCCTCCTCCTCCTCCTCCTCCCCCTCCTCCTCCTCGCCCTCCTCGCCCTCCCCTTCGCCCAGGTGTCGGTCGCCGCGCCTGTTGCCGCCGTCGCCGCCCGTCGCCGCCCGCCCGTCGCAGCCTCCAGTGAGGCCTGCGTGTCGGGTCGCGGCCGCCGCCCGTGGCCACCGGCCACATAGCACTCCCCCCGATGGCACCACACGGATTGCACACACATAGCCTGCACCACGTGCACGGCACCACCCATGGCAGACCTCGGCGCGTGTCAACGCCGTCAAGAACCAACCACCCAGTGGACCAGCAATTGCGTCCGCAGTTTGTTTCCGCATAGATTAAACCACGCGGCATTACATACATGGTCCCAGAGAAAAAAACCCAATCAGAACTTGCTTAGGGCTATAGGGCTATGGGCCTATAGGGCCATAGGGTTATAGGGCTAGGGGGCTATGGGGCTATA